GGCCGTGTTGGCGGCGACGCCGGGCCAGCAGCGGGGCCGAACCGTATTGTTTCCCTTTGCGGCCAGTCCTGGTCCTCGTCCCCATCCTCCGCTCATGCTTTTTGATTTGCATCTTTTTTTTGCATGGACATGCCGAGTAGTGATAAGCAGGGCTTTCTGTTCTTTTTTGGGCGTCTCTGGTCAGACTCTTCTCTTTCAGATCCCGCGTGAGGTCGTTAGGTTCAGGCGTGTCCTTGCTGTGTCCCTAAAGTGAAGGGCGTGACCGAGGCATGCAGGGAGCCCTAGCCCTGTGAGGAGCGGCCCAGGCCGCGGGCGGCAGGTAAGGACACCTGGTCTCTGTGCCTAGGTCGGTGCCAGACGGCAGCCAGAGCGGCCGGGAGAAGCTGGAGCTGGTCCTGTCCGACCTGCAGGCGGACGTCCTGGAGCTGCTGCTGGAGTTCGTGTACACGGGCTCCCTGGTCATCGACTCGGCCAACGCCAAGACGCTGCTGGAGGCGGCCAGCAAGTTCCAGTTCCACACCTTCTGCAGAGTTTGCGTGTCCTTCCTGGGTGAGCCGGGAGCGCCCGGGGCGGAAGTCCTTGGTTGTTCCCCCTCCTCGTGCCTTTTAGTGGGCTGTCCCTTGGACACGCAGACCTGCTGTCCGGGCTGGGGATCTGAGTGTCAGGGACCCCCAGCCGGAGAACACACTTATTCTACAGCTTGGAGCTGCCCGGCTCCGGGGAGAGCAGGGTGAGGGTGGGGTAGGGTTGAGTCACCAGAATCCGTGGCCTGAGCCTAGGAACAGGAGGCCATGGGGGGTTGGGGGGGCGGGATAGAGCAATCTAGAAGGGCCAGGAACCACAGCCTCAGAGTTAGGATCCTGAAAGTAGGGGCGTCCTGGGACCCAGACATTTCTAGGCTAGAATAACCGTTAGTGGGGTCTCGGGGGAGCGACCAGGCTGAGCCCAGGTCTGCAGGTCGGCGGGGTGGACTGAGGCCCGTGGGCGATGGTGGGTGGCATAGATGGGGTGTTACTGCTCCCATGACTCTGAAGTAGGAGTGTGTGACCCAGGCACGCCCTTCACACTGACGGGAGACACCGTGGGCCTCTAGTGTGACCCCACCCCCTGCCCCGTGGCCCACAGGCAGTGAGGAAGCTCCGCACCTCACTGTCCTCTGCTGGGACCCGCAGGAGCAGAGGGAGGGCCTGGGACAGTCAGCGGGAGGCGGGGCAGAGGGGAACCCCGGGCATGGACACAGGAAGTGGGCTCATGGGGACCCTGGCCATGGGCTCAGAGAAGGACCCAGAGGGACAGGCAGCGGGCACAGGTGGCTCCCATCCGGGGCCCCATGGTCAGTGGTCACGTGTTCTCGTCCCCAGAGAAGCAGCTGACGGCCAGCAACTGCCTGGGGGTGCTGGCCATGGCGGAGGCCATGCAGTGCAGCGAGCTCTACCACATGGCCAAGGCCTTCGCGCTGCAGATCTTCCCCGAGGTGGCGGCCCAGGAGGAGATTCTCGGCGTCGCCAAGGACGACTTCATCGCCTACATCTCCAACGACAGCCTCAACACCAAGGCCGAGGAGCTCGTGTACGAGACCGTCATCAAGTGGATCAAGAAGGACCCTGCGTCCCGCGCACAGGTGAGGCCTGCCGCTCCTTCCAGCCCAGCCCCGCCCGGGCGCCTGGGCAAGGAGGCAGGAAGGTAGAGGAGGCCGGGCTGCCCGTGGGCCCGGCCACAGGGAGGCTGGAACTGCTCCGGGGGCAGCAGACGGGCGAAGGGAGGAGTGAGAGATGCAGAATCGGGCCCCTAGTTCGCCAGGGCTGGCATTCCACTGGCAGGAGACCCAAGCTGACCAAGAGACCGCGGGATCCGGGGGACAACGTCAGGGCCCTTCGGGGAGAAGTGTGCCCGAGCCAGGGCACCCGGCGCTCCCCTGAGCTCAGACCAGCAGGAGGAGCACCCATGCTCTGGTTCCTGGGAAGGTGGAGGGCAACCACCGCACACGGGACCCAGGAAGCGAGGCCCTGGGAGCGGGCAGCTGGAGCAATCAGGGCCAGGGCCAGGCAGGAGGAAAGGGGGCAGGGTCCCAGGGGCGCCTGAGTCCCAGGACACCAAGCACATCCCAGCAGGATCTCGGGGCCCGGAAGCCCCGCTGGAGGCCCCTCAGAATGGAGCTGCCTCGGCTCCCACATGGGAGGACCCCTGGGAGCCAGTGTAGCTGCACAGGTGCCACAGCCACGGGCTCACACACGGCGGCCCTGTGCCTCCTCCCTCCCTCTCTCCCCCACCAAGGCCTCCCTAGCCTCCAGGATGCCTAGTCACCCCTGAGGGGTCCTGCCTCCAGCCTCCTCCGGATTCGTTCCCACCCGGCAGCCTCCGCACAGTGGCAGGTCCAGGCGCCAGTCTGAGGCCATGGGACGCCCTAAAGGGGTTTGTCTGTTGGTGTTGGGGAGACGCAGGTTCTGACAGTTGTGATTTGCAAGCTTGTCAGTCATCATCTCCTTTCCAAAGCTGATGGCCACCAGCTTCCCTAGGCCCTCCCACCTGCTGCTGGGTGCCTGCCCCATGCACACCTCTCCGAGGGCCGGGTCGCCCATTTCGGCCCCTGCAGCCTGGCCTGGAGCAGAGGCCGGTGCTGGGGTGGAGGTGGGAGTGAGGTGCTGCCGAGACAGATGGGCGGTACTCCCCAGGCTCAGCTGCCGTTGGCCAGACCCCCCCCCCATCCCCCGGTTTCTTCCTCTTGTCGCCCCCCAGCTGCTGGGAGCTGCCTTTTGTTGTTGTTGTTCTCACCCGAGGATATTTTTCCAGTGATTCTTAGAGAGAGTGGAAGGGAGGGGGAGGGACAGAGAGAAAAACATTGACATGAGAGAGACACACCGATCGGTTGCTTCCCACATGAGGCCCGACCAGGGCCAGGGATCAAGCCTGCAACCGAAGTCCATGCCCTTGACCGGAATCGAACCCGGGACCTTTCAGTTCACAGGCCGGCGCTCTATCCACTGAGCCACACCGGCCAGGGCTGGGGGCTGCCTTCTCTCTCTGCCGAGGCAGGGTGAGCGAGGGGCTGTCCTCCCAGCCAGACACAGACTGAACCACCCGGCGTGCAGTCTCCGGACACGCGCAGGGCTGGCCCGCTGCACAGTCTGAGCAGACCCCGTGTCCCCCGGCCCCAGTACGCAGCGGAGCTCCTGGCGGTGGTGCGCCTCCCCTTCATCCACCCCAGCTACCTGCTCAACGTGGTTGACAACGAGGAGCTGATCAAGTCGTCGGAAGCGTGTCGGGACCTGGTCAACGAGGCCAAGCGCTACCACATGCTCCCCCACGCCCGCCAGGAGATGCAGACGCCCCGAACCCGGCCCCGCCTCTCCGCAGGTATTGGGGGGACGTGCCCCCAGCCCCACAAATGCAGGTGTCCTGGGGTGGGCCTGACTCCGGGTGGTCCCCCAGAGAGGCCCTGGGTGCAGATGCTGCGAGTGTGGGAGGTGGCGGGGGAGGTCCCAAGTGTGTCCGTCTGTGTCCCGGCAGGTGTGGCTGAAGTCATCGTCTTGGTTGGGGGCCGTCAGATGGTGGGGATGACTCAGCGCTCACTGGTGGCCGTCACCTGCTGGAACCCACAGAACAACAAGTGGTACCCCTTGGCCTCACTGCCTTTCTACGACCGCGAGTTCTTCAGTGTAGTGAGTGCCGGGGACAACATCTACCTCTCAGGTGAGGCCCTCGGGCGGCTAGGGATGGGCGTGGGCTTCCCAGGGCCGCCCTCCCACACAGCAGGGCTGAGGACGGCCGGGAGTGTTGACTCTGAGGGCAAAGCCTCCTCCTGAGCTGAGCGGGGCTGCCTGGCGCGGGCCCTCCTCACCCCCCACCCCCGCTCTCTGGACCTCCCCCCGCTGCAGGTGGGATGGAGTCAGGGGTGACGCTGGCCGACGTCTGGTGCTACATGTCCCTGCTCGACAACTGGAACCTTGTCTCCAGAATGACGGTCCCCCGCTGTCGGCACAACAGCCTGGTCTACGACGGGAAGATTTACACCCTCGGGGGGCTCGGCGTGGCCGGCAACGTGGACCACGTGGAGAGGTGATGGGGCCACGGTCACAACGGGGGGTCGGGGGCATCCTCTGAAATTCACCAAAAGCTAAAATCTCGCTGCACCTCCTTCCCAGCACCCACCCCCTGAGCCACTAGAGCCTGGACGTTTGTAAGGCGATGCCCAGGCTCCTCGAACACAGCAGAAGGAGAGGACTGGGGAGGGGAGGTAGAAGGCCCACAGCTGCCGGCCGCTGACATGGGGAGCTCTTGTCCCCGCAGCCCCTCCTGGTGGCCGACAAGTGGGAGCCTGAGACCAGGGGTGGGAGGCCCAGGTGGGGCTTAGCTGGCGGGAAGGCACTGGGACTGGACTCGCTAGAATTTAAGGGGAAGCAGGAGCCCTTGGCCCAAATGTGTGCCCTTCCGATGGCTGTGCCTCCGTGTCCCTGCCAAGTGTGGGGTTACACACCTGGGAGCCCCCTTTCTCCCTCCATCCCGCACAGACCAGGAGATCCGCTTCTGACACGCCTTCGGGGCAGTCCTGCTTTTAGGAAAACAGATGCCCCAGAGAGTGACAAGTTAGGCTGAGCTGGCCCCAAGTTCCAGCCCAGGACACAGCCAAGATCCCCGGAGCCCTTTCCCGCGGCCTCCCTGCACCCCAGCTCACCTCCCTGCCCACGTCACCAGCTGCCTCCGACAGCAGATATCCCCGCGTGACAGCCTTTTGCCCAGGGAGCCACACTTACCCCTCAGTGTGTACCTTTCCCTCGCTGGCTAATTGGACACTTGACAAATGTTCCGGCGACGATGGTTTCAGAGTGAGACGGGCCGGTGTGCTCACTATGGGCGTTTAACTCCCCCACGTGGAGCCCAGCGTTGGCTCGGAAACAGCATTTAATTGTCATATTGACTCGGAGATCACGGGGAATCCCCGTGTGATGATGAGATGCTGATCCTGCCGTGGACCCCGGGCCAGCGCCAATGCTGACAGCCTTCGGCGGGCCCACTGCACGGCCACCACACCCAGGCCTTCCAGAAGCCCAGCTTCCACTCGTTTGTCATCCAGTAATAAGCGCATGAAGCGGGGACATTTTCTAGGTAGGAGTAAACTGAGCTAGAGCTGGCTTCCCGGCTTGCTGCTGTCAGCTATTTTTAATCTCCTAAGACGTTTTGCAAACTTACACTTGTTGATAAATACAGGGATTTGTTTGAGGATCAAATACACCAGGAGATGGATACGTTCCACTGCCCTTGGGCCCTTGGGCCCGGGAGCCGTTCTCCCCAACCTGGGAACAGGCTCTCCCGGCTTCCCCTGGGGGTGGGCACAGAGGGACCAGACACCCTGGCACCCAGGTGACAGAGGAGCAGCCCAGGACAACAGGGTGCCCTTTGTCAGCCACCTGGGTCTGCCAGCTGGCCTTGTAGGGATTGGACGCAGACTTGAAGACCCCTGGGTGGTGTGAGTGCAAGTGAGGGAGAGCGGGCAGGGTTCCCAAGGGGCAGAGCCGAGCCCTTTGGGTAAGTCAAGTGCTGTGGCACATGGTGGCAATGATGAGAAACAGGGTGCTTTGTTCCCCAGGAAGCACTAATGGTACAAATTGCTCTTATATTGATAATGAATGTGATATATGGTGCATTATAATTATACTAGAGGCCCCGTGCACGAAGTTTGTGTACTCAGGGGGGTCCCTCAGCCTGGCCTGCACCCTCTTGCAGTCTGGGAGCCTTCAGGGGGCCACCACTGCCGCTGCGCTCACCAGCCGTGAGCCTGGCTTCTGGCTGAGCAGCGCTCCCCCTGTGGGAGCACACTGACCACCACGGGGCAGCTCCTGTGTTGAGCATCTGCCCCCCTGGTGGCCAGTGCACGTCATAACGACTGGTCGACCAGTCGACTGTCTGCCCCCTGGTGGTCAGTGCACATCATAGTGAGCGGTTGAGCAGCCTTTAGCATATCATTAGTATATTATGCTTTGATTGGTTGAATGGCCCACCGGACGACCAGACACTTAGCATATTAGGCTTTTATTATATAGGATTACATTGCTGTATTACAGGAATAGAGCAAGATTATGTAATTATAGATCAAAACAATAGTACAATACACAAACATGTATGATATCATTACATAAATCACTGGGTCTAATATTTTATAGCCATATATCACAGAGCTGTGGTTACTGAATAAATGATAGCATAGTGGAGCGCCGCACTCCTCGGGGTCACTTGCATGTCATTAGCATATCCTCCAGGGTGTGAGGGGACTGAGGGCTGTGGCTTGGCAATCAGCCACCTGGATTACCAAGCTCTAGGGAGAGTTGCGTTTGGCGGAACGTGCCTTTATACCGAAAGCCACACAATCCCCGACCGACTCCAGCCCCTTCTCAAGAGCTCTTTGGATCTCTGCCATCCCGGCTTAAAAAACAGACACCTGAACTGACAAGAAGACACTCACTGCATCACCAATTAGCACATCTTCAACTGGGGCTAATTCAGCCCAGCCCTGCTGCCCTGTCAGGACCTCCGCCTCTTCTCAGATGCCGAGTCTGCACAAGCTCAGAGCTGGATGTACCACAGTGGCCCCTCGTCCCCCTCCCAGAGCCAGGGGCTGTCTTCCGGGGTCACTGAGCTGTGACCGGGTTACGGCTCATGCTCCAAGGAGGTGCATGGGAACAAGTGGGCCCAGGGTGCTCCCAGGAGAGAGGTGCTGGGGCCCCGAGAACGGAGCAGCGAGCCCGCAGCGAAGGTCTGCCCTGGGTCCCGGGTACATGGAAAAGCAGCCAGCAGTGTGGACGGGCCAGCGCTGGGCGGTCTGGAGCGAGTGCTGGTGAGGTCAGCGCACGAGGAACACGGCATGGACGCTGAGACCTGGGCCCAGGAAGAAAGACTTGAAAGGTCCCAGTTCCCTGCCCGGTCTGCTCAGGCCCAATTCCTCTCTTCCTGTCCGTTGCTTCCTGTTCTCATGTCCCCCTGTCTGGTCCTCACTTCTCAGGTTGGGAGGAAGGCCAGCCCCCCGGTGGCCTTGAGTGACTCCTCTGAGGGCCCCGAGCCGTGTGAGCTCGGGCTGTGCCAGGGGTGCCCAGGGCAGGAAGCAGACGGTGGTGCGCCCGCTATCTGCTGCCTCCGTGTGGCCCCTGCCCCGCACCGGGCCCACTCTGACCCTGAGGTCGTTTTCTCCTCTCTCGGCAGGTATGACACCATCACCAATCAGTGGGAGGCCGTGGCCCCGCTGCCCAAGGCCGTGCACTCTGCAGCAGCCACCGTCTGCGGCGGCAAGATCTACGTGTTCGGTGGCGTGAATGAGGCGGGCCGCGCCGCAGGCGTCCTCCAGTCTTTCGTTCCACAGACCAACACGTGGAGCTTCATCGAGTCCCCAATGATCGGTGAGAACCAGCGTCTCCTTGGCCCAGGGCAGTGCAGCGTCCCCACCTCGTCCTTTCATTGGGTCTCAATAGCCCAGGCCCAGAGGGCGGGCTCAGCCCAATGCTCCCGTGAACCCAAGGCCAGGGGCCGGAGGGGCAGGCGAACCCCAGCCCAGGGGCGGGAGGGGCAGGCGAACCCCAGCCCAGAGCGGGAGGGGGAGGCGAACCCCAGGCCAGAGCGGGAGGAGGAGGCGAACCCCAGGCCACGTGCAGCTGCGGATCCCACCCCCTGGACCAAGGGCAAGCTATTCCATGTGCAGGTGCCTCCTGGCCCTGGGCCCTGTCCGCAGGCCGGTCAGTGACACGGGAGGCCTTTCCAGCTCCCTTCCCCTGGGGGGATCCCTGGGGAAGAAAAGGGGAGAGAAGGCCAGATCAACACCCTGACCTGCCTGGCCTGCTCTCCCCACAGACAACAAGTACGCGCCCGCTGTCACCCTCAACGGCTTCGTGTTCATCTTGGGTGGGGCTTACGCCAGAGCCACCACCATCTACGACCCGGAAAAAGGGAACATAAAGGCGGGCCCCAACATGAATCACTCTCGCCAGTTCTGCAGGTGAGCAGGCAGGCGATTCGGCCAAGGTGGGAAGGAGGAGGTGAGGGGGGCAGGACAGTAGGAGAGGTTTGAGCGCAATGCCTGACCTCCATTCATTGACCAAAGGGAGTCCCAGGCCCAGAGCAGCGGCCCTGACAAGCACAGGTGTGGGCATTGGTGCCCCAGCAGAGCATGAAGCGCCCGGGGCAGCCCCTGGCCCAGAGCCCAGCCCCATCTCCAAGCCGGAAATGAAGGGCTTCCTACGGGGACCTGCCCGGGTCCTTCGAGGCCACACTTTCCTGGGTGGGAGGGAGAGTGGGGCTGCAGGTCAGCTTTCCCCCAGGACCACCTGCCCATCGCAGGCAGAGGCAGCGCCAGGCCCTACCGGGGACAAGCAGCTTCTGGGGGTGCGGATGGTGCCATGATCCTGGTGGCCCTTTGGAGCCGGGCCCAGCAAGTGGCACCCGGAGTCTCAAAGCTGCCTGGGCAGAAACACACACGAACCAGCCCCCCCTCCCCCAGGACAACATGGGAGAGGTCAGTGTGTGGCTTGGTTCCCTGTCGTCCTGGCCCCGTGGCCCAGGAAAACTAACTCCCCTGGGCAGTGAGACACAGACCGGCACCTCCACCCCTTGTTCCTGGACTAAGAGGAACGAGGACTACGAAGGAGCCCCAAGACCCCCTTTTAGCATTTCCTGAGCAGATGGTGTGTGAAGACAGCTCAGCCCCTGCAGAGGTGGTCACCAGTCCTCAGTGTGGACAGCGTGAAGCACTATGCAGAGCCCGCTGTTTGTGCGGCATAGCTAAAAAGCTAAAAGCTGCTGCGAGCCTGTGGTGTGACCTTGGAGAGGGAAGGACCACCCCCCCAGGTCCTATCCATGAACCAGGCAGTGGGACGACTGCTGAGTGCCTGGCCGCACGGAGGTCCCAGTTCTCCTCGTGTCGCACACTCTATGGTGGCATGCGCAGGGCAGCTCCGACTGCACTCCCCCCGGATAAGGACCTGGAGTTTGAGCAGGGCTTGTGGGAGGACTCCCAGACCTCACCTGAGACTCAACGCGGGCGCAGAAAGACGAAATGCTGAGGGGAGGTTTGAGCTGGGTCTTGCAAGAGAAGCAGAGAGAAGCTGTGCCCCAAGGGGAGGAGTGTGGCGCCCCGATGGCGGAGCAACTGAGTGACCTTGGGTGTCTGCTGAGCAGGGACCTGGAGTTTGAGCAGGGCTTGTGGGAGGACTCCCAGACCTCACCTGAGACTCAACGCGGGCGCAGAAAGACGAAATGCTGAGGGGAGGTTTGAGCTGGGTCTTGCAAGAGAAGCAGAGAGAAGCTGTGCCCCAAGGGGAGGAGTGTGGCGCCCCGATGGCGGAGCAACCAAGGGACCTTGGGTGTCTGCTGAGCAGTCTAGAGTCGACTGATGTGCTCAGTTGGAGGCTCGGAACTTCAGAAAGGGGTGGAGACATGCAAAGGGTATCTGCTCAGCTGACAGCCAAGAAGAAATGGCCATTCGCCCAAGTAAGCGGGCAATCAGGGCTAGATGTGTGGGTCTGCGTGAGGGGCGGCTAAAAGGAGGAAGTGCAGACGGGACAGCGTGGGGAGCTCACAGGAGGGACCGCTGGCTGAGCCCCAGGACCAAGCCTGGAGTGAGGCTCGGGGACCACGTGGTAACCCCGAAGGAGCTCCTGGGCCGCAGTCACGGGTGGGCAGCCGCGCCTGCCCCGCGGTTAAGGAGCCGCAGCAGGAAGCTGGGACTCTGAGCCTCGGCCAGGGTGCAGACCGCACTCACAGGGCCGAGCTCAGTTATACCGGCTCCTGTCTGCCGCCTCCTAGTGAGTCATGTGCCCACGGGATCTGAGCGGTAGGAAGGCCCGGTTTGGGCATCAGGAAATGCGGAGACGCGCTGAGCTGAGCCGAGAGCCTGTACAGGAGGCTGTTCATCTTCAGTCAGACCCGCAGGCCCTGGGCACCCAGTATGCACGTGTCACCCCAGCTCCAAGGGGAGTGCCGCATGGCGTCCTGATCGGCTGTGAGGAAAGATGTTTTTCTTGTAGAGCTGAGGTCAGAGGGCAGAGGAGAGCAGCCAGATCCCGTGTGGCTTTTGCAAAAGGGCAGCAGCAGCGGCCACACACTGGGAGGGAGGCTCTGTCTCCAGGTCCACGTGGACGCTCCATGGCTGACGCTCTCCCCGCTTCCCCCGGCAGTGCCGTGGTGCTCGACGGCAAGATCTATGCGACGGGGGGCATCGTCAGCAGCGAGGGGCCGGCGCTGGGCAACATGGAGGCCTACGAGCCCGCCACCAACACCTGGACCCTCCTCCCCCACATGCCCTGCCCCGTGTTCAGACACGGCTGCGTCGTGATAAAGAAATACATTCAGAGCGGCTGACGTCGGCGGGACAGCCACGCGAGACCGTGGACGAGTCTGGTGAGGCACGTGCTCCTCACAGGATCAGTTTTCAGCAACACCCACAAGAGGCCGACAGGCACACCCGGGGGACTCGCTGCGCTAGGCATTCGGATCCTCTGCATCGAATGTCCTTGCCTGTGGGGGACCCGGGCTTAGCTCGGGGCACAGGGACCCACCTTCCAGGGCGGCCTCGGGCTCCGCGGAAGGACTTGCTCTGACGGAGGCGCTCACTCTGCCCGGTGCAATAGAGTCTCACATATTTTTCAACTGGGAGAGAGCAGCTGCTTTTTCCTTCCTGCAGAGCAAGCCGGACCCCTAGACCACCACAGATCAGTTATCCTATAACAATAGTAGGCGTCAGGCTCCCTTGGGATAAGATCAAAGTGTCCTTATCACTTTGATTGCTGTTTTGTTTTTAACCAGCCTACACTTCCAGTGGCGGGATGCGCAGCGCAGCGCAGGGCCCGCTGTGGCCGGAGCCGCCGCAGGGGCAGCCGTAGGGACCGTTGGGGGAGCGTCTGTCCTCCCCAGGTTCTCCTACCATGTTTTTGCTGCAGAAGGGCCAGATGATCGTGCTAGCTTTCTCTTATCCAATATGAAGTATTTAGATTTCCAAGGCGTTTTCTTGATAAACAAAAGGCTATTTTTAAGTACGGGGAGGAGGCGGCCAGGCCGGGGAGCAGGCGGGAGCTCCGGAGCTCTGAGGAGGTCGTGCCGGGGTGGCACGGGCTCTAGTTTTTCTACGTGCAGAAGAGAGGAGCTCGCCTGGGTGGCACAGAGGCACCCGTTTTATTTTTAGAGAAAGTAACTCCCAGACAGCCCCCTACGAGCGGTGCCTCCTGGGGACATCGTCCAATAAAGAGGCTGTTCTAGCAGGAAACGACCAGCTCCCTCCTGGGGGGAAGGCTGAGGCCCCGGGCCGGCGGGGCGGAGGACGGGAGGACGCGTCCACAGAGCACGGGGGACTATTTTTGATATTTATATTCGTAGCTCTATAGCACGGCACCTGCCACCACGTGCTCAGGGTGGGGCAGCCTTCGTAGACGAGCCATGACAGCCGAGGCCTGGGGCGTGGGCAGAATCTTCTAGCAGCATATTAACCCGAGACAGGGAAGCCAGGAGGGCGGCCACACGGGGCTCCAAGGAGAAAGGCCTGCCCGCCAAGGCCGCCCTCAGACCCGCACACCTCACGCGGTGGTCAGTGTCCACGCCAGGGCAGGAAGAAGGCCGCCGCTGCCGCGCTGTTTAGTTGAAGTTGGTACCAAATACACATTTACCATTTTTATATCTGGGAAGTCAACTTGCATTTCATGATTTAAAAAAATAAAATAAAATAGTAAAAAGCCACTGGTAAGGAGCAAAGGCCAGGCCACGCTTCCCGTCTCTCCGCGAGGACGACCGAGCGCTCATGCTCGCACGGACAGGTGTGGCTCCCACTCGGACGAGACACCGAGCTTCGTGATGCAGTTTTTAATATTATTTATTCTTTTAAAAAGTAATAAGCACAAAACTACATACGTTGTATGTCATTTACAGTATTTATGTCAAACAGGGTGCAAGTGTGAACCCAAGGACTGGAGCACAAATTTCTAACTGCCCGGGGCAGGGCTAACGTTCGCGTTGGTGTGCGTCTGCCTCCAAAGGAGGTGTTAGCGGTCAGCAGGACTCAACACAGGTGGCACTGAAATTCCGTTTCTCTCCTCACTGATCACACTGGAGCAAAACTGGCTATTTCTGTGAATGATATAAACAGGGTTCTCTGTAATGGTATTGTACATAGTATATGTTTATCGTTAAGTTCTTGTTATATTATAATAAATATATTTATAGATCTAGACCCGGAAGTCCATGTAATGCCTTCGTGTGCCTTCATCCTGGCCACGGTGATGAGAAAGCCCAGTGTGGGTCCTTCTCCCTCGTGGGCTCCGTCACAGACCTGCACGCAGACCTCGATGAGGAAAAAGAATAGGACTCCTGGGCAGGAAGGACGTCAAGAATAAAGGGCAATTAAAGGCCAAAATGAAAGGGACTTGCAAGCAGTCTGGAATGACTCTGAGGATCTCCCTTCAGTTGTCAGTGCTTTTTTTAAAAAATGTTTTTATTGATTTTAAAGAGGGAGGGAGAGGGAGAGGTAGAAATATGAGAAACATCGACTGGCTGCCTCCCACACCACACCACCACCACCAGGGATTGAGCCTGAAACCAGGGCATGCGTCCCGACTGGGAATAGAACCAGCAACCTCTTAGTGCGTGGGTCAGTGCTCAGCCACTGAGCCACACCAGCTGGGCATAAGTGCTCTATTATACTAGTGCAACCAGACGCTTCAAAGTTAGCTTCCCCCTGGTCTAACCCCCGTGTCTGGCATCCTTGTTGAGGGGCTGCCAAAGCCACCTGGCCACTCCAACTCCTCAGCCTGAGAAGAAACACAACATACTTCCTCCAGAAGAACAGCAAGGCGTGGCTTCTATCGTAAAATTCAGACTCGGTGGCCTCCCCGCCTTCCGTCACCCCCGAGGCTGTTGGCTAGCACGTCACATAGACGGACTTGGCTAAGGAGGCCCATGCAAGGCTTCCCAAGGTAGACAGGTAATCCACCAGGCAGGATCGCACCCTCTTGCAGGGGAAGATGTTGAGGAGGAGAAGGTGGGGTTATCAGCATTTCTTAATCCACACACCTCCTCGGGACCTCGTGTCTCTTTGCCGGAAAACAATCTGGAAAAGCTGGGCGGGGGTGGGTGAGCATGGGAGCCCAGAGCGCCTGGCTGAGGCCTTGCGATGCCAAATGAGTATCTGCCAGGACCTCTTCAGAAGCACGGGTCCTAGAGGAAAGGAAGGAGAGCTGGAGGGTCCCCGCTGTGAAGAGCTGAAATATAGCCTGTCGTCAAACCCAAGCAATAGTTCTCTCAGCTCCTTCCTGTCCACTCTACTTCCCGAAATCAAGGGAAACACGTTCCCTGGTCTGTGAAGAGCCCGTGTCCTTCACACGGCACTCCGGGGTGGTAAGCACATCCCATTTCCCGTGCCGGACACGTGTCCACTCGGCTAGGAGCCCATGAGGCTGGGGGGTCTCTCCTGCTGGACTAGGGGTGCTACCGTCAGAACTAGCGTGGATGGTAAGCAGGTGGCTGTGACAGCCACAGACAGGAGGCGGCTCACAGTGTGTGTGTGTGTGTGTGTGTGTGAGAGTGTGTGTGTATGTGTATGTGTGAGAGTGAGTGTGAGAGTGTGTGTGTGTGTGTGTGTGAGAGTGTGTGTGAGAGTGTGTGTGTGAGAGAGAGAGAGAGAGAGAGAGAGAAAATTTTAAAAAACACATAGCCAAAACAAGACTAAGTGAGGAAAAATGCTTGCAGTTCCTGTGACAAAGGACTAATGTCTTTATTTAAGGGCCCATGTAATTCAATAAGAACGTTTTAAGTGGTTCCAACTGTTAAATAGGTCATAAAGAGACCCCACGAGAAGAAAACATTGCCAGTAAACACTCAACAAAAAAGTTCAACACTGGTAGTCTTTTAAATAATGACACTTAAAATAACGAGGTAACATCTTGACCTGCTAAATCAGCTTGCTTACCAAAGCTAAAGACAAAGGGTGGGAGGGGACCTGGAGGATGGGGAAGCCTCGAGGCGTGCCAAGGGCTTTGTGAGCGGAAACAGCCCTTTTCAGAAGCCATGTGGCAAGTGCCTGTCTCAAAAGCCTGACGAGCACCTGACCCGGGAAACCCACGTCTGGGCATCGATAGGAAATGATACAAACTCCGGGTGAGTCCCGGCTGACGCTCCGTTCACTGACGCTCACGTCTGTCAGACACCGTGCTGAGCTCTGAGAGCCCGGGACCCTCACAATCCGCGAGACGGGCAGCAAAGACATGCAGCCACGGAGAAAACATCGGCCGAGGAAGAAAAGCAAGATCCATACTGTATATGACTGTGGTTATGTAAGGTATGTACGTAAAGATACGTAAAATATTTATAGAAAAGTGAAGGTTCACAGTCATAAACTACCAATAGTTGTCCCAATGGGATTGTGGGCAATTTTTCTTCCTTCTTCCTTCCATCTAAAATGTATATAAAGTGATGGCATTACTCTTATAATAAAGATATTTTTTTTTTGAATGGGGAATGAGGGACAGAAAGTAATCGTTCCCCTACAGCCTAAGAAACTGTCAAAGATTATTTGCTACTCTGGGCACCATAAGCAAAGTTAGGGTTCAGAATAAAATAACAAAGAATGACATACAAGAAAATGATGCCAGTAATAAACAAGATTGTTTTCTAAAAAAAAACCTAAAGGCTTGGGAGTGAATGGATTATATCTTTCAGCGCATGGAAAACAAGAACATCAACTCTCAATCTCAGGTCAATGAAGATGAAAAGGACAAAATGAAGGAGGGATGCATGTGTGAGTGCTGGAACTCTGAGTGAGTGACCAAGATCCTTGTGAAGGTCTTCTCTGATGAAACTCAGTGTATTTATATAACACAATCGCACACATTATCCCATTGTACCCCCTCAATTACCCTGAAAGGCCCAGGTCATCGTCTTCACTCTTTCAAAGGAAATGAGGTCGGAAAAGCTAAGTGACTTGTGCAGTCATGGCTACACCAGGCCCGTGTCCTCCATACATCATCGCACTCAATCCTCTAACAATCCTCAGAGGTGGTTCCCCCTGCACAGGTGAGGCCTCGGGTTAGGCAGAGACGGGTCTGAGGCCCATCAGGAGTCGGGCAGCCCAGCGAGCCTCCGGAGGGCCTGTGTGGCATCACGCAGCCTCTCCACACCTGTGGGCAGTTGCGTAGCTCTTAGGACTCCAAGACTAAGGCTCCTTCCTCCTCCCCACCCTTCTCAGGAATCTGTACTAAAGAGAGTTCTGTGATGTGAGACCGTCAGCTGGGTTAGACACGGTCCTCTTCCGAAGCGAGTTTGGGAATGCCTGGTAAGAGCCTCGGCAACACCTGGCTTCCCCGGCTTGGCTTCACCCAGGAAACCTGGGGGGATGAGAGTCCACTAAAACGTCAGCCCACCCATTGCTGTCTCTCTTGAAACTCCTGTGAGCCTCCCTATGCGATGAACTCTTAAGGAGTTCCTATCTGCCATGACCCCGGCCCGGGAGAGTAACGGGGAGAGCACACCGGCCTGGCTGCACCATCTCAACCCCGAAGGGCACATCGAGACCTCGGTACCCTAGGAGGCAGGAGGCTAAAGTGCTTCCCTCCGTACTGAGCATGCTCCGCTGTACGGGATATCACCAAATTGCTCTAAAAGCATTTATCATCCTGCCATAATCAGCGTGTATGGGAGTTTCATTTCCCTACACCCTCACCAATACTAAATATGGGTAAACTTTAAAATGTTTTTGCTTATATCACAGATGAAAAATATGTTTTGGCCTCTTGTACTTCTATCTGTAAATTTCCTATTTACATCCTTTGTAGCTTGTTGTGTTTTATTTATTACTGAGTTATGTTTTATTTATGGGACCTCTTTATATCTTAGGACCTTTAGTAGCCCTTTCTCAGTTATATAGATGGTAAACATCTCCTCCCAGTTTATCATTTGTCTTGTTGTAAATTTTTTCTTCATTGTAGAGAATCTTAAATTACTATGTAGTCAAATCTAGCTTTTATAGTTTTGAAAGGCTTCCTTTATCCTGAGTATATAGTTTTAAATAATCTTGTATTTACTTTTAACCTATCTTTTATTTTTCATGTTTCCTTCTTAAATCCACTATCCTGAAATGTTTTTGTGTAGGATATAGAGCTCTAACTTCCCTCCTACACACACACACACACACACACACACACACACACACACACACATACACGGATTGCTCTTCCTAATTAATCTCTGTGATCTGAGATACCAACTTCCTCTTGTATTATTCCCAGATTCAGACCTGTGTAGGGTTTATTAATCTATTGGTCTTATTGCTTCTCTTTTTATCCTAATATCTACACTAATAAAAGAGAAACATGGTAATTGGCGTACGACCGCTACCCTTTTCATTGGCTAATCAGTGAGTATATGCAAATTAACTGTCAGCCAAGATGGCAGCCAGCAGCCAGGCACTGAAGCGAGCAGGGAGGCTTGCTTGCTGCAGACTCCAACGTTCACCGCCTCACTTGCCGGCCTCTCAGTTGCAA